CTCATTATACACTAACTATAATGCATTAGCATCCTAAGAGATGCTTCCACCAGCACCGTGACCATTTACAAATGCCGTGGCAATGTCAAGAAGTTACCCTGTATCCTCTAAAAAGGGGAGGAACCCTCAGTTCTGGGACTTGCCCACCCCTTGCCCAGAAAACTTATCAATATTCCACCCCTTGTTTAGCATATTATCAAGAAATAACTCTATACCCTTAGTCAAGCAGCCCATGCCACTGCTCTGCCTGTGGAGTAGCCACTCTTTATTCCTTTACTTTCTTAATAAACTTGCTTTCACTTTATGGACTTGCTCAAATTCTTTCCTGGGAGGAGTCCAAGAACTCTCCCTTGGGGTCTGGGTCAGGACTCCTTTCTAGTAACATTGGTGAGAATATGGAGAAACTGAAACTCTTGAGCACATGGTCATGAGAATGTAAATGGTGTAGCCACTAAGGTGAACAGTATGGTGGCTCCTCAAAAAATTAACGATGGAATTACACTATGATCTAGCAATTCTACTTCTGGGTATACATTAATAATAATATATACTAAATAATAGAAACTACTACTAATAACCAAACTTGATGTATCCTACTATACTCTCCCAGCACAGAGTACTTCAGACACAGGCTATGTGTGGCATTCTCCCCACACACCAAGTAAGTAACCAACTCTGCAGCATGGACACCAACTGGGTGTCCTCTAATTCAATTCTATTCTGACACTATCTACCTGCAGATAGCATCAGATCCCACAGGTCGAGGGCTCAGTCCGCAAGACTGCCCCCCACATCCTATGCCAACTGCAAGCCTCAGCAAGGTGCTTTACCTGCACTTCTGACTGACTGGCTATAAACGAGGGAACCCCACCTCTAGTCCGATTAATTTGCTAGAAAGACTCACAGAACTCAGGAAGACACTTAACTTACATTTACCAGTTTATGGTAAATAATATTACAACAGATATTGATGAAGAGATGCCTAGGGTAAAAGACGAAAAGGGGCGTGGGGGTTTCATAACCTGCCGGGCATGCCACCCTCTGGAACTTTCATGAGTCCACTATTTAGAAACTGCCCACACCCTGTCCTTTGCAGTTTTTAGAGAAGCTTTCTGAGGTCGGCATAATTGATTAAACAATTGACCACTGGTGATTAACTTAACCTTTAGCCCCCTTTTCCTCCCTAAAGGATGGGGCTATGGCCAAAAGTCCCAACCTTCTAATCACTTCTGGTGACCGGCCCCTTTCCTGGAGCTACCTAGGAGCTGCCAGCCATCTATCAACTTATTAACATAAAAAAAGACATCACTTTGGAGATTCCCAGGATCTTAGGAGTTGTATGCCAGGAAATTGGAACAAAGACCAAATATATATTTCACAGTACAATAATACCAAAAAGAATTGAAAGCAGGGAGTTGAACAGATATTTGAATACACATGTTCATAGCAGCATTATTCACAATACCCAAAAGGTAGAAGGAACCCAAGTGTCCATCCATGAAAGAATGGATAAACAAAATGCAGTATACACATCCAAGAGAATATTATTCAGTGTTAAAAAGAAATTCTGACATATGCTACAACATGGATGAACCTTGAGGACATTACATTAAGTGAAATAAGCCGGTCATAAAGACTACATGATTACTTATATGAGGTACCTAAAATAGTCAAGCTTATAGAAAGAGAAAGTAGAATGGGGGCTGCCAGGAGCTGGGGAAAGGAGAAAGGGGGAGTGGTTGTTTAACGGAAATGGAGTTTGTTTTGCAAGATGAGAAAGTTCTGCAAATTAGTTGCACAACATATAAATATATTTAACCACACTGAACTGTGTACCTAAAAATGGTGGCAATGATAAATTTATGTTACGTGTATTTTACCACAATTTAAAACAATCAATTGGCCGTATTTTTGTGAGGATCTAAGTCTGGGTTCCATTCTGTTCCATTGATCTACATGTCTAAATCTTCTCCAATACCACACTGCCTAGTGCGTTTTTTTGTTTGTTTGTTTTTGAAATAGAGTTTCAATCTTGTCACCCAGGCTCGAGTGCAATGGCATGATCTCAGCTACCAGCAACCACCACCTCCCAGATTGAAGCGATTCTCCTGTCTCAACCTCTCCACTAGCTGAGATTACAGGAGCCTGCCACCATGCCTGGCTGATTTTTGTTTTTTTGGTAGAAATGGCGTTTCACTATACTGGCCAGGCTGGTCTCAAACTCCTGACCTCAGGTGATCTGCCTGCCACAGCCTCCCAAAGTGCGGGGATTAGAGGCATGAGCCACTGCACCCGGACCTGATAGTGTCTTAAAACTGAACATTACTGGCCAGGAACTATGGCTCATGCCTATAATCCCAACACACTGGGAGTCCGAGGCGGGCAGATCATGAAGTCAGGAGATCAAGACAATTCTGGCCACCATGGTGAAATCCCGTCTCTACTAAAACACAAAAAATTAGCCGGACATGGTGGCAATGTCAGCTACTCAGGAGGCTGAGGCAGGAGAATCGCTTGTACCTGGGAGTGGAGGTTGCAGTGAGCCAAGATTGCGCCACTGCACTCCAGTGTGGCGGCAGAGCCAGACTCTGTCTCAAAAAATAAATAAATAAATTGAACATTGCTTATTTTTTATTTGGGGGAAAGGTTGAGGTAAGATGCATAGCTATAAAAAGAACCACTAGTGATTATTTCCCGTTTCCTGGAACTAGCTGCTGATCGTTTTGTACCTTGGTTCGCTTTCGACATGCCTGAGACAGCGAAGTCCGCTCCCGCCCCAAAGAAGGGCTCCAAGAAGGTGGTGACCAAGGCACAGAAGAAGGACGGCAAGAAGCGCAAGCGCAGCCGCAAGGAGAGCTACTCCATGTACGTGTACAAGGTGCTCAAGCAGGTGCACCCCGACACCAGCATCTCCTAGAAGGCCATGGGCATCATGAACTCCTCCGTCAACGACATCTTTGAGCGCATCGTGGGCGAGGCTTCCCGCCTGGTGCATTGCAACAAGCGCTTGACCATCACCTCCAAGGAGATCCAGACGGCCGTGCTCCTGCTGCTGGCTGGGGAACTGGCCAAGCAAGCCGTGTCGGAGGGCACCAAGGCCGTAAGTAAACTTGCCAAGGAGGGACCTTTTCTGGAATTTCCTGATCTGATCAAGAAAACTTCTTACCAAAAAAAAAAGCACAAATGCTTTCTGTTACCTCATTATCTACTGCAGAAAAGACGACTGAGGAATGCAACCACACCTGAATGGACTTTTCCACAAGATAAAGCTGGCTTCTTGGTCTCATTCAGATTTCAAAGAGAATCATTTACAAGTTAATTTCTGTCTCCCTGGTTCATTCCTTCTTGCTTATAATCATTCACTGTTCCTCAAATAATTGTATACGTTACCCATCTCCTCTTTTGCCTCTGAGAAAGGATATATAAGCTTCTGTACCACACCGAGGGGTTGGAGTAATCATTCTGTGGCCCCCAGCCCTGTACATTAATAAATTTGTATGCCTTTAAAAAAAAAAAAAAGAACCACTAGTATTGTAAATATATTGTTAAATAAACACAATGGACACAGTCTGATAAGTTTTATGCTGAGAAAGATGGGGCCATATTATATTCCTCTGTTTTCCAGGGCCCCACCCAGTGGCTGACTCCCACGGAGTAAGCACTCAAGACATTTTTTGTGAGACAGGGTACTGCTGGGTTGCGCATGTGGAGTGCAGTGGTGTCATCACGGCTCACTGCAGCCTCCAACTCCTGGGCTCAAGTGATCCTCCTGTCCGGGCTGGTCTTTAACTCCTGGGCCGAAACTATCCTGCTTGAGCCTCCCAAAGTGCTGGAATTACACCATTTGACTGCCGGGCACTCAATTAATTTCCGACAAAGGAATGAAGATATAACTTCCTTTACCCACTGCAGCTTAAAATACAAGAGAAGCTCTGGGATATTAAAATAAGAAACAGTCTTGGAAAAAATTAATTTGAGCACACAGAATATTTGCCAGTATGTGCTACAAAAAATATGTAGTCAAAAATATCCATAGAAGTGTTGCTTAGAATGGGGCAAAAGCCCAAGAGAAAAAAAACCTCTCACAGGGTTAATGAGAACTACAAGCCAGGCTTTAGGCAGAATTGTAGTCAGGCATCAACCAGGGTGCACTGGTGTGCCCTGACTCACTTCCCTGCAGCTGCTAACTAACCGAGGGGCTCGCAGCACACTGACCACCTGCTCCCCCATTGCTCCCATTGATAGAAACCGACACTGGACCTTTTTACCCAAGAATTGCTTAAGGTGTTTTACGGATCCTGAATTCCAGCAGAATCCCTGATGCCAACAGGTCTGAAGGTCCATACCAGGAAACTGACTCAGCATCTCCTGGTCCAATGACTTCACCCCCCACTTCTCGACCAATCAGCAGTCCTCATACCTTAGCCCATCACCTGTTCAGACCCCTTAGAATCCCCATCCCCAAACCTCCCAGGGAGGCAGATTTGAGGTTTCCTCTCATCTTTTCGTTCAGTTGCCCTACAATTATTCATCTCCTTTGGTGCAACAGGCAATCCAACCTGGTGGTCTTATAACCATATTAAAGTGAAACAGAGAAATAAATGTGAAGCAGAGAGGTGTGACTTGGAAATTGTATACACTGAGTGTGGCAACTCCCCATACCTTGTGTTTTCATACTAACTTTGTTAACATTAATAAAGTGCTACCTTTGACTGACTGTGATTCTGATGAGGAGGAGGAGGAGGAGGAGAACAGGGGTGGTAAGGTTTTAAACTATTCTCTTTCCTCATTTTCCAAGCATTTACAAGTAGCTAAATTTTTCCACATATTCATTTCTTTCTACAGAACTTCCATCAAAATAAAAAGCAATTCTGAATCAAGCCTTATGCATAAGAATTAATGGTTCCACCTTATAGATCCCAAATCAGTGTGTCATTTGGGCAAGTCACCTCTCTCCCAGATTCCTATCTGTCCTACATGTAACTGGAATTTTGCAACAGATGTTACACTCTTCCTTCTCCTTAGCAGCTCTGTTAGAAACTTTAAGAAAGCCTGAGAGTAAAATCTGTACCGTATAAATCCAGAGGAATGTTTATACGGACTAATTTCCTCCAATCTGGTCACCTTTCTATGCGAAAATTCCTCATCTTACAATGTCTCATGCATAAAATCATTTGGCCTCTTAACTGCACTGTTGAATATTTTTAAGACCAAAAAGCTTGCTAAACTCAAAACAGTGAAAGCATTCAGTTCAAAATAGAGTGAAAAGCCACATATGGCTTAGAGGGAGAAAGCAGCGCTAATGATTTTAGGCCTTAACAGTTTGAGATCCAGACTGGCTGCTCTGAAGCCATCTTTGCATTGTTCCTCGCCCAGCTCCTTGCTCACCGCAGCCACCTCCACTGCGTGCCTCGACTCTTCCGCTGAGGACTCTGGCAGCTTTATCACCAGAGTCCCTGAACTCTCGCTTTCTTTTTAATCCCCTGCATCGGATCACCAGCGTGCCCCACCATGTCAGATGCAACCAGAGACACCAGCTCCGAAATCACACCGAGTTAAAGGAGAAGGAAGATGTGGAAGATGCAGAAAACGGAAGAGATGCCCCTGCTAACGGGAATGAGGAAAATGGGGAGCAGAAGGCTAACACTGACACAATGAAGAGGAGGAGGAAGGTGGGGAGGAAGAGGAGGAAGAAGGTGATGGTGAGGAGGAAGAGGATGGAGATGAAGGTGAGGAAGCTGAGTCGGCTATGGGCAAGCGGACAGTAGAAGATGCCGAGGATGACGATGTCGATACCAAGCAGAAGACCGATGAGGATGACTAGATAGCAATAAAGGAAAACTTAACCAAAAAAAAAAAAAAGGCCGCTGTGACCTATTCCCCTTGCACTTCCCATCTCAGAATCTAAACGTGGTCACCACCTTTGAGTAGAGAGGCCCGCCTGCCCGCCCACCATGGGCAGGGCCACCTGCAGATGACACATGTGCTCCACCACCCAACCCAAACTGTGAGAATTTGCAGCAGGGGAGGAAAACAGAGCCAAAACTTCCAAGGCCCTGCTTTTTCTTAAAAGTACTTTAAAAAGGAATTTGTTTGGGCCGGGCGCGGTGGCTCAAGCCTGTAATCCCAGCACTTTGGGAGGCCGAGGCGGGTGGATCACGAGGTCAAGAGATCGAGACCATCCTGGTCAACATGGTGAAACCCCGTCTCTACTAAAAATACAAAAAATTAGCTGGGCATGGTGGCGCGTGCCTGTAATCCCAGCTACTCAGGAGGCTGAGGCAGGAGAATTGCCTGAACCCAGGAGGCGGAGGTTGCGGTGAGCCGAGATCACGCCATTGCCCTCCAGCCTGGGTAACAAGAGCGAAACTCCGTCTCAAAAAAAAAAAAAAAAAAAAAAAAAAAAAGGAATTTGTTTGTATTTTTATGTACATTTTATATTTTTGTACATATTGTAAGGGTCAGCCATTTTTAATGATCTCCAATGACCAAACCAGCCTTCGGAGTGTTCTCTGTCCTACTTCTGACTTTACTTGTGGTGTGACCATGTTCATTATAATCTCAAAGGAGAAAAAAGAGCTCGTTCAAAAAAAGCAAAAACAACAGAAAAACAATCTTATCTGAGCATTCCAGTAACTTTTCCGTGTATGTACTTAGCTGTACTATAAGCAGTTGGTTTGCATGAGATGGTTAAAAAGGCCAGCTGGGCCTTGTGGCTCATGCCTGTAATCTCAGCACTTTGGGAGGCTGAGGCAGGCAGATCACACGAGGACACAAGTTTGAGATCACCTTGACCAACATGGAGAAACACCGTCTCTACTAAAAATACAAAAAATTAGCTGGGTGTGGTGGTGCATGCCTGTAATCCCACCTGAGGGTGGCTGAGGCAGGAAAATCACTTGATCCCAGGAGGTAGAGGTTGCAGTGAGGCGAGATCACACCATTGTACTCCAGCCTGGGCAACAAGAATGAAATTCCATCTCAAGAAAAAAAAAAAAAAAAGGCCAAATACAAAAGGTTTCTTTTTTTCCCTTGTTATCTATGAAATTGCAGTGGGTTTTCTTTTTCTTTTCTTTTTTCTTTTGGCCCGCTTGATGTATGTGTGAAACACTGTCGTCCAACAATAAAAAGGAAATTTATTTTGTTGAGGTGTTCTTAAAAAAAAAAAAAGTTTCAAATCCCAGAGAGAAACGTAATAAATGAATAGGCCTGCAAAAATATCAAGGTTATTGGTATTTAAAATCAAACTGTGGCTGGGCATGGCTCACGCCTGTAATCCCAGTACTTTGGGACACTGTGGGCAAATCACATGAGGCCAGAAGTTCGAGACCAGCCTGGCTAACATGGTGAAATCCCATCTCTACTAAAAATACAAAAATTATCCAGGTCTGGTGGTACATGCCTGTAACTCAGTTACTTGGGAGGCTGAGGCAGGAGAACCACTTAAACCTGGGAGGCAGCGGTTGCAGCGAGCCAAGCCTGCGCCATTGCACTCCAGTCTAGGCAACAGAGTGAGACTCCATTTCAAAAAATTTTTAAACTAAAATCAAACCATCAGAGTAGTTCAGACCTTCTCCTAACACTTGCAGGGCCCAGACTAAGAATGCAAAAGACGGCCCAAATATCCTATCTCCAGGTGTATTTAAGTTGCAAATCAGATTAACAAACTGTCAGATAAAACATGCTCTATCTTCCTAGCTTGACAAATGCACCCATCTAAAACATTAAATTTTTGTTGTTGTTGGGTTCGGGGATGGAGTCTTGCTCTGTTGCCCAGGCTGGCGTGCAGTGGTGCAATCTTGGCTTGCTGCAATCTACACCTCCCGGGTTCAAGCAATTCTCCTGCCTCAGCCTCCCAAGTAGCAGGATTACAAGCGTGTGCCACCACACCTGGCTAATTTTTGTAGTTTTTTAGTAGAGACAGGGTTTCACCATGTTGGCCAGACTGGTCTCAAACTCCTGACCTCGTGAACTGTCTGCCCCGGCCTCTGAAAGTGCTGTGATTACAGGAATAAGCCACTGCGCCTGGCCCATTCATGTTATTATAATTAAAACTTGCATGTAACTTATGCTCTACTGACAGTATGGATGCTTGTTCCATCTAGCCCTACATACATACAAATGAAAGAATAGCATGCATCGTTCAGTATTACAAAATATTTCTCGGGTGTTATGTGCAACTGTGGTGAATACCAGAGTAATATTAAGTACCTTGGCAATCAGAGCTGGAATGTGAAAAGAACATGAATGCTCAGCATATCAATATTTCAGTTAGGCAAGAGCTAATTGCTTTCATGCTATCCACGTGTAAGGATTTGGCAGGCAACTGTGTTTTCTTCTTTCCTAAGTACTTCTTGCTCTCAAATCCATCCTCTAATTGGAACAGGATCTGCTTTGACATCAGTGGCATACAACCCACAAACTCCCATGACCATTGTATGCAGGTGCCTTGTGTTTTGAGAGCATAGGTCAAGAGACATCCCTTGGTGAGCAGCGTTGCACATAAGCATGGGCGTTTAGGGCTTTGGGTCATGCTGTGCCAGCACAGAGCATGGGGTCCTGAGAGACAAAAGTACCATGTGCCTGTAACAAAGCAACGTAGGTATTGGGGTGTATAAAATGTGTTGGGGTTCCAGGTTTCAAAGCATAGTCCCTTTTGCCTGCCTCTAAAGGAGATATTGGTGCAGTTCATAAACAAATAAAACATTTGTACTAATTACGCCAAGAAAATCATTTGTTCAACCTGATTCTATCCCTTTTAGGTACCCAACATAATAAATTACAACTCCATATTAATGTCTTCTTAAAGTAGAATCATAAGAACAATAGAGAAATATCATAATAAGGGAAACAATAAATTGGGGTCCTGTTCACTAGCAAATTGTGTCTGTTCATTGTTGAAAATGTGAAAATTCAGGAAAACAGCATATTTCCTAAAGCATGTACACAGGGTAGGGCTGTGGTCATTGTGGTTTTGTTTTTTGCTTTTCAAAAGGATTCCCAGGCTAGGCGCCGGGTCTCACACCTGTAATCCTCTGGGAGGCCAAGGCGGGTGGATCACCTGAGGTCAGGAGTTCGAGACAAGCCTGGCCAACATGGCAAAACCCCAACTCTACTAAAAATTATCCGTTTTCCCTAGTTCATTCAATGGTGGGATTCCTGAGGACTTATATTTTCTGGTTTTATGGGGGAAAATCAGAACTAGTTTCCCAGAGGAAGTGAAAGTTAAGCTGAGACTTAAGAGGTGACATTCAGCCAGGTGAAGCGCAGTAATCCTGGTAAAGTGTCGACCTATATATCCCCCAGTTTTCAGTAGTGCTCAGGGGACTTTCCCATTTGTGATGACCCACATGGCAGTGAGCAGGAGAGGCAGCCGACTGCCATGCAGGACAACTGTTGTTTTATTTCAAACTACCTCTCTTGCCCAAGCAGTAGTACACAAGTTGGCAAGTCGTATATTAAAAAATATGTATTAAGTGTACACAAATATGTATCATATATTATTTATGTAAGGCCCGTTGCCTCGCCAGGAGTCCAAACACACCCACCTCTGCACTCAGTACCTGGCTCTGCACTCGGCACCTGGCTCTGCACTGGGCACCTAGCTCTGCCGCATGGCTCCCCTGGAAGGCTCCAGCTAATGCAACCCTGGCCGGCCCTCGTACTAGAAAAACCTGCCCAACAACCCGCCAACCAATAGCGGCCCACCCCGTCCCAATCTTGCTCCCCTGGAGCCAATCAGAGTACCCAGCTGTTGCTCGTTACCCATAGCCACAAAAACCCCACGCCCTAGGAATTCGGCGTGACTTCTCTGGCCCCCTTTTCCCCGGACCACAGAACCTCGCCGGGAGCTGAATAAACTGGCATTTAATTTTCTTATACTGGCCTCAGTTTCCTCATTTTAAACTCGGCAATAACAGTTACAAGTTATATTATGTATATCTATAGGTATCCATCTATCTCTCTAGGAAACAACATTAGAAATGTAAGAGCTGGTCCCTTGCATTGGAGAGGTTTATACAGCAGTGAAAGACGTATACAGGAGAATCAGACTTAGGGAAAGTGAATAATGAAAAAAACATCACGAAATGCCATGTGAGTGGCCTGCATCATACTTGCACTTAAAGCTTCATCTCTTCGCTCCCTGAACAACTAGTGAAACAAAGCAAGAATACGGGAACTGGCTGCCAGCTGGTTTTGATGTCTTGTCCCACCAAGAACTTCTTTCTGGCCTGGCGCAATGACTCACGCCTGTAATCCCAGCACTTTGGAGCCTCAGGCGGGCGGATCACTTGAGGCCAGAAGTTTGAGACCAGCCTGGCCAAGATGGCGAAACCCTGTCTCGACAAAAATACAAAACTTAGCTGGGCATAATGGCGTGAACCTGTAGTCCCAGCTACTCAGGAGGCTGAGACATAAGAATCGCTTGAACCCAGAAGGCGGAGTTGCAGCGAGCTGAGATCACGCCACTGCACTCAAGCATGGGTGACAAAGCAAGACTCTGTCTCAGGGGGAAAAAATAAACAAAAAACAACAAAAAAAAAACCCTTCTTTTTGACATCCGGGACCCCTTCTGTCTAAAAGAAAACCACCACCAAAAGAAATCAGCCATCCCCATTACAGTGTGCAGGTTAAGAGCACTGAGTTACACCTTTTCCTCCAAGGGCTGGTCCCCAGATGCAACCTGGGCACTCCTATAGACAGATGCCTACGGTCTGCTGCGGCTCCC